TTTGTATGGAGATGTTACACTTTAAAATACTGCGAATCCAAGTTGCTCTTTTGCTCTCATGCATTCATTTGTTTTTTTTCAACCAAAATGTTCGTTATTCAACATTCATGCAGGGAGTAGTACGAGTATATTCGCAATAGTTCTTATCGTAATCGGTTTGGTTGTCTTCTTAATCGCATTTCTGGGTTTTTGTGGTTCAATAATGGAGAATCCTGTTTTGCTACTTATTGTAAGTCAAAAAAATGCACAGTGTGCAATGCACACATTAAATTTTTAACTGATTTTTTATTTGCACTCATTTTTCTCACTGAACCATTCACTTGTTTAGTTCATAATTTTTCTTACGATACTCGTCATCATTCAAATTACAATTGGTGTTGTAGTTGTGACAAACGTAAGCATGGCCCAGGAATATTTAGATTTTGAACTCGTTCGAAGCTTTCGTAGTTATGCAACGAGTAAAAGTGATGCCATCTTTTGGGATCGAATTCAGATCGAGGTAAAAAAAAACCTTCCATTTTCTTATTGAATGAATCATTTTTTAATATGAACAATAATAAAGATTGGAATTTTTTAGAACAAATGCTGCGGCCTCCACAGCTATGGAGATTACGAACATATTCCAATACCTCCATCTTGTTGTGGTTATGTGCATCAAGATGCAGATGGACAATGTTTGGTGGAAAATTGTTGGAGAACCGGATGCCGAAGAATTTTGGCGAATCTTTATAGAACAATTTTAAAGTATTTAACTGGCACAGCCATTGGTCTCGGATGCGTTCAGGTATTGTTTGCATTCATCTAATCAGTATTTTCGATTCGTATGACTCTTTTCATTGTTTTGTAGATCACTGGAATCATATTCGCCTTCTACCTGTACGCAAAGTTTAGATAAGTTTCCTTGCCACCGTTGACGAGGATACCGTTTTTATGTTTGAATGTCTAGAATTGACGACCTTCCAATAAAAATAATATTCATATGTAATATACATAAATAAATATGTTGGCTGTTAGCTAATTTAAGTATATTAAATAAATCATTCTCTTTGGTAACAGAAGAAAACACAAAAGGTATTTTTTAAGCGGTATACAAAGTTTTTTTTCCCAATAAAACACAGAAAATTCGCTAATTTGGCCATACAAATGGTTTTATTTGTTGGAAAAATTCATTAAAATTCTTAATACTATAGAAACATATTATTGCGATTCATAACCAGATTCAGACATTCTTCCCACCGCAAAAAAATTCTTATCATTTAAATATAGAAATAAATATGGTCATGATTCGAAAGGGGCACATATATGTAGTCTATACCCAGTACATCTCAAAAGCAGTCCATCACTTGATTTAAATCGGCTCGGTTGTTGGTATTAAAAATTCAGTTGCAAAAACAGTACCGCCTAGCTGCAAATTTTCTTCCTTCACCTGCATAAGTTTTGTGAGTGCTGATAGCTTTAGTATTTCTTCAAGAAATTTAAAAATAAAAAAGAAATCACCATGTGATTTTTATTTTCTTTAAACCAACAGTAAAGTGTCTACAGGATGTGTTCAGTGATTTCCAAAATTTGGCTCTTCGTTTTCAATTCCATCTTCTTTGTGAGTTTTCCAAAAAAAAAAAATAAAAGCGATTCAGTTGTCTGTTTCATTATATTTGATGCATTTGTTGGATTAATTTTCAGTTTGGAGGCGTAGTATTGTGTACATTTGGTGGCTTGATACTAGCTTTTCGTCACAAAGCAAGTAGGTTACGATGCATTTTCGTTAAATTTAGATTTAACATATGAATTGAATGTTTTAGATACTGCTGCTACAAATGTCGATGATATATGGACAATCGGGATAGTACTCATAGTGCTTGGTGTCATCGTCATGCTCGTTACATTCTTGGGATGTTTTGGTGCAACTTTAGACAATAAATCTATGCTTCTTACGGTAAGAGCTTTATATGCTAAAAACATGTCAGTTTTTGAAAAGCGGGTACTTTTTTTTAGTTCGCCATACTTCTGACATTGATCGTGGTGGCCCAAATTGGTATTGGAATTTATGTTGGGGTGCAGAAGAATTTTTCAGAAAAATTGACGCAAGGTTTTATTCATACGAATTGGAATCATGTAATTCATAAGGATCATATCGATTGGTGCCAGGAAACGGTAATAGAAAGATTTATTTGATGCAATACGAGACAAGACAAAATAAATCTTGTCATTTTTTTTCGCAGTTTGAATGCTGTGGCTATATAGATTATACTGAATACAGGAATAACACAAATCTTATATTACCATCGACTTGTTGCAAAGGCCATGAAAAGGACCACAAATACATGTGTCCTGTGAAAGATGCGTACATGAAAGGATGTAAACAAGCTTTTTCGCAATTTTTGAAGCAAAATCGTGGTATTATCATCGGCGTTCTCTGTGGTTTTGCCTTATTCCAAGTGAGTAGAATGGATCGATGTTTATAATGGGTCCAATATTCGGTTTCACATTTACGCATTTATTTTTTCTTTCTCATTTTATACAGATCATCGGCATTGTCTTTTCATGCGTTTTAGTCAGCAAAGCCAACAGGCACTACTAATCCATGGTTCAATCGATTCTTTACCGTCACGAAGATCGTGAACCCAATGACTCTATCAAATGAAATAGATGAAAACCTTTGTCCAACGAGTTGGAAACTTCAAATTTACAGTAAAAATGTTTCAAATCTTACAGTTAATGAAATCGGACGAAAAAATTTACGTCGACTAGTGTTTTCTGTACAATTAATAGACATACAAATAAGTGAATTAAATAAATAAAAATACATAATGATACTATAGTAACAGAAAAATGTTACTTTCATTTCATCCGGCTTCAAATGGGTACACATTGGTCATTACGCAATAACTCATTTCGTTTTGAGCTCAACGGGAGCAAACATTTTTTAATGTTGAATAACTGGTGACATATCGATAAAAATATCATATGTTATGAATATAAGAAAAAA